TGCAGGAATGTATGTTATTTGGAAGAAAGGCCAAAACAAGAAAATCCCAATTACTGGGGCAATCTGGGATGTCTGATGAAGAAGATGAAGTAGGTGTGAGTCCAGCAACCAGGCAGGTGGAAAATTGGTCCCTCAGGGCTAATCCTGCAGCAATATTGTAGTCCCAATTAGGGTCCTGGTCAGGAACTGCCTGGGTGCCTAGTGGGTGGGCTGGGGTGGTTTAATGACCTCATTAGCATAATTACAGGCTTGTTTCCAGACCCACCTGTGTTCCTCTGGGAGAAGAGTATTGGTCAGGATCATGTAAATGTCATGAAAAGTGAGATAATAGGCTTGGAGTAAGTACTGAAACTCCTCTGTATGAAGCGGAGTTGGTGGTGTAGGAACCCAAGCGTTTTTCAATCTGTGAAATGTCCACTATGGAGAAGGGCACGTGGACCCTAACAATCCCTTTTGCTCTCCTCTTTCAAAGGAGCCATAGTTGAAGTAGAGTGTAGTGGGACAGACTGTGCGTGGGAATGGGTGGTGGGAGGACTGAAGGAGGAGGTAGGGCAGGGCCCGAAGAAGGAGGAGCTGGCGGGGTGGAGACTGGCACGGATGAAAGAGGAGAGGAGTGGGGGGGAGGGGTTTGGGTGACTATATGATGGTGGTTCTTTGGCTAGATCAAAATCTGAGGATGAGGAGGCAGGAAGAGAAGAGGGTTTATAAGCCAAGAGGACATGCTTTGGGTTGCAAGAGGTACAGAGAGATGGATTGGAGCGAACGAAGAGAAAGCCTGAATATGTAAAATCTCTGCCCATTTTTTTGATCACACATAATAATTATAGAGATCCTGTAAAATGGTGGGGCAAAGGACCCATAAGGGGGACAGTGGTTTTAGTTATCTAAGGGATAATTGGGCCAGTCCTGAGTAGAGAATTTTATCAATTTCTTGGATTTGATCTCTGGGGTTTAGGCTGAGGGTGTCCAAATTGTCGAGGAGGCATTTGAGAGGGGAGTTGGCTGGCAGAGAGGAGGCACCCCCACCTTAGGGCTATGAGGAAGGGTATGATATGTTGACTGGAGAGGTTGTCCCACTTGAGCCAAATATCAGAACGAGATCTCAGGCCAAGGATTTGGTTGTCACCAAAATCCTCTGGTGAGGGGCCCTTCCTGAGGTCCATGGGAGCTATGGGTTACCTGGTGCCAGGCTTTTGGACCAAGAGTGAGGAGGAGGAGACTCAAGCTCGAGGAGGGGAGGGGGTTTGTCAGTTCTTAAGCCGGCCGAGGACTGTAAGGAAGGGGAAGACTCTAAGAGGACCACTGTGACTGTGAAGGTCTGGGTGGGATGTATTCCTCCCCACAAAACACCATAGGGGCTGCCAGGAGATCAATGACCAGTTTCTTATTACTGTGCCTTGGCAGGTTTAGGAGTCGGGAGAGGGAGACTCACCAATTCGTAGGCCAATGGTGGATGTGAAGGAGGTGATTAAGAAGATGGGTGCAGCTTGGTCTCCACTCAGGTGGTGATCTCCGGTGGGATGGGAGTCCTGCTTAAAAGCAGGGTAGTTCCATCTGAGTCAGGACACCAGTGAAGGGCAAATGACTCACCCAAGATGGAGATTCAACCAAGATATTTATTGGGGGGGCTGCCCGAAGGGGAAGAAAAGGAGAAGCAGAGAGGAGAGGAGGAGAGCAGAGAGAAGGAGAGCCGAGAGCAGAGGAAGAGAGCAGAAAGAGAAAGAGTAGAGAGGAGAGAAAGAGGAAGAGAGCAGAGAGGAAGAGGGCTGAGAGCATGAGCTTGCAAGCTTCGTCTTGGCTTAAGAAGGGTTGTGTAGGCGATGTGGCGGATGCTGACTGGCAGGGTGACTCAGGAACTGTGAGCAGACAGTGTCCTACAGGGATTGGTCAAGAAAACTTTTGAATTTGGTGCTATTCGGAGAGGAGGGAGAGGGGTAAGGGATTATGTGATGTTCTCATGAGACAGAAACTTCAGTGGGGACTCTCTCACACACTCAACAAAACCAATAGAACCACACATGGTTTAACATAGTCTTTCATCCTGAGCTTCACTGCACAGTTGTTTCCGAGTTCTATGAGGGCAGGCCCCCATTATGGTTTCTGAAACTTTTGCTCCTTGTCATGTTTGCTGATGTCTTGTTGTCCAAAGCAAGTCACATGGCCAAGCCTAGAGTTTATGTGGGAGAGGATACATAAAAGTATGGATATTGGGAGGTGAATCACTGGCATTATTATGACAGCTTACCACATTGGGAGTTTTGAGGAACTGTAAAAGAATGTTAGGGAAGGTTGTGTGGAGCCTGATTAGCTAAAAATATAGTGGGCTGAAGCATTTATACTGTTGTACCTTTTGGCTTAGAGGGAAGGTCTAGGATATTTAGACTCTCTTCCCACTTGAATCTCTTAATGTATCTGCATGTACACCCATCTTCTCCTTTCTTCCTGTTAATAGTATAAGAAGGTTCTCCTATGTATGCTTAGAATCACCTCTTCTTGCTCTCTTGGCCATCAGTCTCTAATGCATCTTTTACAATTTACTAAGTCCTTCCCCTTTTAATTCAAACATGTATTGTCTCCCATCTTTGAAAATATTTCTAATCTAATTTTCCCTTTTAGCTACCTCTTTTGTCTTCATCTCTGTACAGCCAAGCCCACATCAGTTGTTTACATTGGCAGGCTCTTCTGCATTTTCTCAGCATCCCACTCCAGTGTAGCTTTCACCCCTCCCATTCCAAGGAAGCTGCTCTTGCCAGTGTCAGAGGTTCAACACAGAGGTCCAAGGTCCACATCAAAGGTCCAGTTTCTAGGTCCACTTTTCAGGTCTTAAATTATTCCAAGTTTCACATTAAATCCATGTCTAAAGTCCAGGTTCTGTCCAATATCAAATCACGTTCTAGCTCCGATAGCTAGTTCCAAGATTATGTATAATTATTCTGAATTAAAGGATAAAGACCCAGGACTAAGATTCAACTTTAAGACCTGATGTTCCTATCTGAGCTCCAAATCCAGGACTAAAGACTAGATCCAAGGAATAAACATACCCAGGTCTGAGGTCCAGACACTGCTGATAGTCAAGAAATAGGTATAATGTCAGACCTAGTATTGTGGACCAATCTGTGTCAACATCAAGGTACAAGCTCCAAGTCCAAATTTGAAGTTCATGTACACAGCCCAGGTCAATGTACCACTTCATATCTTTTATGGGTTGAATTGTGTCCTGCCCCAAAATTCCTATGTTGAAGTTCTAACCTCAGGTGCCACAATGTGATCTTATTTGGAAACCAGGTCATTGAAGATACAATGAAGTCATCCTGCAGTAGGGTGCACCCCTAACCCAATATGACTGGTGTCCTTATCAGTAGGAAAAATGTGGACACAGGTACATGTGTACACAGGAAGAATGCTACATGAGTATGAAAACATCAGGGCAATGCATCAATAAGCCCAAAATGCCAAAGATTGCCATAAAAATCACCAGAAGCTAAGAGAGTGGTATGGAACACATTTCTCGCTTACAATCCTCAGAAGGATTTCTATGCTGTAGTTCTGTGGGTGCCAAAGTTTGGATCCAGAATGTCCTCTAAAGGCCCATGTGTTCAAGGCCTGGTCCCCAACTTGGGAGGTGGTGAAAAGTTTAAGAGGTGAGGTTGTGTGGGAGATCTTTCTGTTTTTGGAGGTGTATCCCTGAAAGGGAGAGTGAGATCCCCCCTCTTTCTTTTGCTCACTGGCCACACGGTTAGTGGATTTACTTTGGTCATGCCTTTTTGCCATGATGGGCTGCCTTGCTACAAGTCCAAAGAAACAGGGCCAACCAATCATGGATTGAAACTTCTAAAGTTGTGAGCCAAAGTCAACTTTTTATACATTTATTATCCCTGCCTGCAGGTTCTAATAAATTTACAAAATAAAGAAATCACTGGATTTGGCCCTGTGGGCTACATTTTCTGGCCCTTATTGATATTAATCCCTTGACTTTAGACAATGCAAAATCTTTACATCTTCGCTGAATGGTTTTCTTTGTCTAAAGAGTTTTTATTAGACAAAATCCTACATGTTTTTTTAATTATAATTTATCATTACGGGATTTATTTTAGTCTTTTCATTTTTTCATTTATAACTTTTTTCTTTTTTATTGGTTGTTCAAAACATTACAAAGCTCTTGACATATCATATTTCATACATTTGATTCAAGTGGGTTATGAACTCCCATTTTTACCCCGTATACAGATTGCAGAATCACATTGGTTACACATCCACGTAAAATCCTACATGTTAATGTTGTCAAACTCCTCCAATTTTCCAGGTATTTTAGGAGTTTTTTTTTCTGGTCATACAGGGACTAAATTCAGGGACACTCTACCACCGAGTTACATTCTCAGTCCTTTTTACTTTTTATTTTTTTATTTTTATTTTTATTTATTTATTTTTTAAATTATCTCACTCCATTTTATTTAAGATTTTTTTAATCCAGTTAGTAAAAGGAAGAAGTGTCTCTCTTTATACATATGTACAAGTTCAGTTGTAAAAATAGACAGCACATTCAAAGAGAAAAAAGGCTTGGCATTTTTCTGATTCCCTCTAAATAGCATCTGTACACAGGAGTCTGGGTTTGGTCAGGGGAATCTTAATGATTTAAATTAAATGATTCCCCTAGAACCCCTACTCCAAAAAAAAAAAGTTTAAAAAAATCAATCTATCTAAACTCAATTCCGAGATTTTTAGGTGTGCAAATTAGAGGCTGGCCCAACTGGAAGCACCTGCTCCACCAGGGACTTCAGGTGGTGGGCAAGCGGGAACCCCTTCCGTCAGATACAACCCCCTTGCCTCTCTTGGAGGCCAGCAAGCTCAGGCTGGTTGGGTTGGGGATGGGAGGGTTGGTGCTGAGCTTTCCTCCTCCTCCACCCTCTCTACCTCATTCCTGTTGCCCCTTCCTTTCTCAGTGCAATACAGACAGTGCATACAGCCAGGGGCTGAAGGGCAAGGGTGGGAAGACTGTGCATTCAGGATGGGCACAGGGGCATCTGTAAGAGGGGCAGTGAGGATGTCCTGCTGATTGAGGTGGCTCCTGGTCTCTTTACTGGCTTCTGGGAGTCCCTGGGGTGGGAGTTGCTGCTACTGTTGCTGGTGGGACCTGAAGGTTCCCTGGTGTGAACCATGCAGGACAGGGGAGGAAATGCTGGAAAAACAACTGCCTGTGGGTCTGCTTCCTTTGGCCTTTTGTCATCCTTATAAGCCACCACATTCTCTGGCACATACTACTCTCTCTTCAACAATGACACAGTGGCAAATAGAGTTTGTAGGCCTGAGGAGCTGTCCAAAGATTGTGGACACCAGGTACACAATTTTATCCCTTCCTAGTCCTCCAGGAAATCACAACCTTATACGAAGTCTCCACCATGGAAGAAGGCTCTTCACAGCACCTGCAGAGCCTTTGTAAGGGACATGGTCAGAGCTGAAGGGTGGAATGGGGCTGGAGACAGCATGCCTGAGCATCTAAAGAGTGTCTATGTCAGGCCCTTCCCCAGTAAAAGGTTTAAGACTTGGCCACAGAGTTCATTGGGGATGTTGTGGGGCTGACCCTGTCCTTGGGCCCTCTTCCTATAGGCTACCCCAGAACACTCCTTTGGAAATAGGTGATGAAAGTGCTCACACTAACYACCTGTCTTTCCCTTGCTGCAACTTGTCCTCTCTACCCTCTGACTTGGGATGTAAGATGCTGCACTGGGCAAGCCATCCAAAGTCCATCTGCAGGCCAGGACTCTAGCCCCTGGTTTGGTTGAAGGAAGCTGGAGGGCCCAGATGGTTACCGTCCTCCAGAGGGGATGGTGCCTTTGCCCTGTTTCCGGACCATAGAGTCTGAGGCTAGGCTGCTGGTCAAGTGGAGGCTCTTGGGAGTCCCAGGAACATTATTTCCTTTGCTCAAAGGGGAACTCAAGGGAGAAGAGGCGCTTGAAGGTCCAAAGTCAGCAAGACCAGCAGGCCTGACAAGGGATGTCTGCAGAGGACTGCTGGCAGAGATTCCTTTAGACACATTGAACCCGTATGCAGCATAGGCAGCTGCAGAGGCTGCTGCAGCTCCTGCTTTGGCTCCTGCCATTGCAGCGGCACTGCCTGCTGTGGACTTCCGGCTTCGGCCTTTCCCTGCTCTTTTGGCTGTGCTTCCTGAACCTTTGGGGCGGCCTCGGCTTCGAGCTGAGTGACCACGACCTGCAGCTGGCATTTCCTGAATGGAAATTCCATTCACGGTGTCTGAGACAGAGGAACCTGTTATGGAAGCAGGAGAGTTGGTGGCTCGAGACTGAGGGGCTGAGGAGGCTGGGTCATCCACAATGACTAGCATGTCACTGCTGCTCTCATCAGGGGGAATGGAGCCTGTGTGAAGCTCACTGCTGATGGAGATCTCACTGAAAGGGCTGGGCATAGCTGAATCCACACTAATGAAGGAGTTGTCCCCGTCAGCAGAGAGGTTAGAGTTATCAGCCGAAGGAACAAACGGGATCACCAAGTTCACACCCTCTTTTCTCCTTTTCCCTTCCAACTCATCTTCTTTTTTCTTCTTCTCTGCATACTTTTCCCGCTTGCACTTGCGTTCCTTCACTCAGTTGGTTTCCTCCTGCTGCCGTTTTTCTTCCTGCCGCAGTCTTAGTTTCTTCTCCAACTCTTCATCATCTAGAAGAAGACTAACCACCTCTTTCGGTTTCAAGGTATCTGGTTTGAAGTTCCCACCTGAAATCACCATCCGCTGAATCTCACTCTTCTCTTTGGCTCTCTGCAGAATGCGTTCCTCAACTGTGCCTTTACAGATGAGCTGATATACTGTAACCTGCTTTGTCTGCCCCAAGCGGTGGGCCCTATCCATGGCCTGCTGGTCTACAGTGGGGTTCCAGTCACTGTCATAGAATATTACTGTATCTGCAGCAGTGAGATTAATACCCAGTCCTCCAGCTTTTGTGCTTAACAGGAACACAAAGATGTCATTCCTGTTCTGAAAATCAGCAACCATGTCCCGCCTCTCTGAGATCTTGGATGAGCCATCAAGCCTCATGTAGGTATGCTTCCTGTAAACCATATATTCCTCCAGCAGATCTATCATCCTGGTCATCTGGGAGTAGATAAGGACCCTATGTCCTTGAGATTTGAGGCGAGTCAGCAGGACATCAAGGGCATATAGTTTTCCACTGTCAGTGATGAGGCTCTCCTTGCCTGGAATCCTGATGAAAGACCAACCATTCTGGGGCCTGATGCTCCACAGTCCTCCGGCTGGCTCTGGGAAGAACTGAGATCGTCGATTGAGCCAGTCTGCAGCCAGTTCAGGGGCCCCATTCAACAAACACTGCTTGGCTGCCAGACTCCCTCCTTCCTTCAGAACTCGCCTCTCATATTCTGCACTTCGGTCATTGCAATAAGAATCCAATGGCACTGCGGTGACCTGCAAAGATTCACACAAGACAACTTTCACGTTTTTTCATACACATTAAGTTTTTGGGACTCTAAAACCAGACTGATATGGAAAATTCTTAGGCTGACAGTTTTAAATACCCTGTGCTGACAAATTAAGCGTCCCAGATACTGACTTAATGAGCTTCTCCAGATTAAAAGGCCAACTCTAGTAACATGAATCTGCAAACAAAATAAAGATATAAAGAGAGCTAGAGTAGGCAGATAAGTGAGGATATCAGGCCAGCAATGATTCTGTTTTTATATATATACGTCCCATCATTCCACCACCTCCATTCATTGCTAGATTATGTTCCTGGTAAAGTGCTACTAGTAATACACATCATGGCGATGCCTAAAAGACAGCTGGAGCTAGTCATCATTAAAGAACTAGAAGAGTATTGGCCTGGCACATCTAGAGCCATCTTTAATGCTCCAGTAGCAAAATTCCCAAGTTTATCAACACTTCTTTCTGTTTCTCTGACCAGTTTTCTGACTATCAAACCTAATGGAAGATAAAAGAAACTTTCTTTCA